ACAAAAGAAGCGTTACAGGCCAGGGACAGTGGCACTTCGAGAAATCAGACACTTTCAGAAGACGTGGGATCTTCTTATTCCAGCTGCTCCTTTCATCAGACTTGTAATTTTCTTTCATATGGACTTATAGCATATCAAAGTTGTTTTTAATGCATTTTTTTTGGTTACATTCATCATGGTTCTGTTGATGTTGTGCTTGCTTACAGGAATACAGTTGGACTGCTAGATATAGTTAGAGCTTAGCAGCCATATGATTAGATGAAATAGGAGAAACTCAACCAATTATAGCTTGATTGAGTGCTTCATTACCATGTAATCTAACTGAAATGGAAGAATGAACTTAATGTCGAATCTAAATAGTTGCAGGTGTCTAATTTAATGTAGATTATGGAAAAAAGTGAGAGGGCTATCAGTGTTATGCCTTAGTTGAGTGGAGAATATGTGAATCACTGCTGCACTAGCGGATAAAGCTAATGTTAAGGCTTTCCACTAGTTGATGAATATTAGTTATACTAAATTGAAAAGAAAAAAAAAGATGCTGAAAGGATAGTAAAAATTTAAAAATACTATGGAATGGAGAGAATAGCCCCCTTTTCTTGAATAAAAACCCTTTAAAAGAAGGTATCTTTGGCAAGCTTCAATTGATGTAATACTCCATAACTCAGTTTCTCATTTTCCTTTGGACTGCCTCAAGATGAAAATTCACCTATTTTCTAACTGATTTAGTTTCTCAATGGAGAGCACACTGATGTTAACAAATAGAAGAAAGAAAAACTCAATTCTCTTTCTTGAGTTTATCTTTATACTCTAGTATTTTATTTGTTTGGGCTTGGCTGAGTTCAATTTGCAGGTTAGTTTGACCAGTTTTTGGGATTATGCACTATTGTCAAAGAAAGGTTTCCGTTTCGTATTGATTCAATATGGGATTGGAATGGGAAGACCAATTATGATCTGCCGGACTTTCAAAAGTGGAAACTAGTTAACTCTTTTCAATTAGTGGGATCTGCTTCTGTAGGAGGTTTGATAATTTCAGATTTTAAGAAGGTGTACTACACAGATCTGCTAGTCAAAAAAAGTTTCTACCTCCTGCTCTATATTTCAGGAAGTCCCTGGGACTCAATTTGTGATTCTGGCAGAAAGTGTGGACTAAGACTGTATACCAAAATCTGCATTCTGATTATTCTTTAAATGTAAATGTGTTGTAGAACTGCTATATTATACCCTTGATGATAATATGGTTTAGTTTAGACCAAATAGGTTATGGATTTATCCTTGCCTTAATTAAATTTTAACCAAACCTAATTGTTTTATCCCTCTTTTCTGACTGGGGCAGGTTAGAGAAATTAGTCACTTTTATGCACCTGGGGTAACTCGTTGGCAAGCTGAGGCGTTAATTGCTATTCAAGAGGTATGCCAATTTCTCACCATAAAAAGTGGATCTGTTAGCTGCTATTTGGATCGTGTGCATTAATTTTAAGTTATTTATAGGAATCATGTGTTCCTAGAGAGGAGAGGGAAATCGAATCATATAAATATATTTGCTCTCATATATCATCTTGTAGTTTTATATGTCAATAACATATCTAGCTTGAAATAGTCTCTGCTCCATAGACATATTAAAATTATTTTAATGTATCTTAGAGTAATTCTACTATCAATTTCAAAATGTGCTTAATAATCTCCTATAAAAGGTTTCTCCAAGTTATAGAAAATTACAGCATGAACTCCATAATAATATAAAGTGTGTTCCAATTGTGTGGTCAGGGTAGTAACGGTGTGCGAAAAGAGCCAACATATTATTAAAGTGATCTTCCTCCTTTCGGTACGTAGCATACATTAGGTAAGAAACGCTATGTTACTCGGACTCTTCAAAAATGATCCCACACCCATGCCAAATTCTTCAACAATGCATTAGTTTCTGAGAATTCAACATGCACCTGTTGACATTTTTGAAGAGTCCAACCAACATAGAAGAAAGACAATTGATATCATCTCCTAACAGGCAATCCAAGATGGGTCAGGCAATTAGTTAGCTAAGGGAGTTTGAGTTTCTGGAAGATTTATCATATTTAGAGATGTCTATCCCAAACTCTTGCTCCATGAAGGTTTTTCTACTTTGATTATGGTTGTGCATTTTTCTCATCTGAGTCCTGCTCAACTGAATTGCTTTATATCTTCAAATTGCAAAAATACTATTTAGGTGTATTAATCTGGCAAGTTCAAAGTAAAAACTACTTATCTTTGATTTTTGCTTTAGATAAGCTTCTGTCCTGAATGGTACAGTCCAGTGTCCACAAATAAAGTTGCTACTCGGCTTACCCCTAAATCAGGGTGTCAACTCCTTTTGGATATTGTTCCTATCGAGGGGACATATATTATTTCTAAGTACCACTAATTCCTATTGGTTTTTGTTTTGATGTCATAAATACAATACATATACTTGCATCAACATACGAGTATGACTGATCTTGCAGCAACAAGTTATTCACCTTTTCCTCTGAAGCTAGGCCAATTCTGATACATAGTCTCTAGCATGGCATACCTTATTTTTTTAAGTTCCCCGGCAAAGAATAAGGCATTGAAAAGAGAAGGGATTTCTTAGTGGGTATTTGCTATACTTGCATCAACATGGTAGAATACCCTATGGCCTCCCTAATATGCCCATTATTTATTAAAGCACTTTGTGTTTTAAACCTTTTTGACTGCATGTATAATAAGTGTATTTGCTATGTTTATGAAAAGATGTAGTTCTTTAATATTTTGTCAGTGACAAGTTGATGTCCAGTAAACATGTGGAGTAAAAGGAATTGGCTTGTTGTGATCATTGATCAGAAACAGATAGAATCCCATTAAACTGGTAGGGCGCTGTGGATAACTAGTGAGAGAAAAGGATAGAGCTAAGCATCAGTTTTAGCATGTCTCTCTGCAAGCATGCATTTCTGCTCCCTATAAAATTTTGTTTGTATCTGGAAGAGCATCAATGATCTTGTGAAATAATGTACTTTGTGTCTTCTCAGGAACCTAGGAAAGTTTCTCAAATCCTTTGTTCTGTCAGTAGCTATGCTCAAATAACAGACATTTAGTCATAGGGGAACAATCAGCAGTAGAAACTTGAAATGTCTATTTGTATTCAAAAGAAATTATATTTAGTGTTGATACATGAACTATTATTCATCTTCATTCTGTGCAATCTGATGCATAGTTTGGAGTGAAAGAACTCTACTCCAGTCTTCATACAGATTCCTCAAGAGTCAAAACAGTGTTGCAATCATGTCAAACTCTGCTTATTCTGTCAGGGCAATTTGTCTTTACCTGCACATATAGTATATTAATAATCCTGTGATCCTTGCACATCATACTTTTCTTGGGATGTTTTCATCATTAATATCATTAAAATAGCAAAATGTAGATGGATGCATAAAGTAAGAAAGTTTGTGTGCATAGTCTAGTTCAGTCAACATTATTATTGTCAGCCTACTTTTCTAGAAATGCCTTTTTTTATAAAACATATATGTCATATAGAACTCTATTCTTAATCAATATCAGCAAGAGTGATATAGGTATTTTGCAGGCTGCTGAAGATTTTTTAGTTCATTTGTTTGAAGATGCAATGCTATGTGCTATTCATGCGAAGCGTGTTACACTTAGTAAGTTTCCTCTTCAAATTCTTCCTTTTTTTGGTTTTCTTATTGTTCCTTCTCCACAGTTGACCTAATTCTACATCCCTCTACTCATTTTCTTGTTGCTTTGAGGAATGGGCTGGCAGTCTGGTTCATCAAATCACTTGTCTTTCACAAATTATGTTATTCTGTTGTAGATTTCATATACCTATTAGCTTTCTCAATTGTGTTATGCTTGTCCTCCTCAGGGAAGAGGAGGAAATGCTCTACAAATGCTTTTAGTCGCGAAGTTACGGCATACAAATTATGCCATAGATGCACATATATTCGGGATCCTAGTTTTATTTACTCCATATATACATTTGCTAAAGATGCAAAAGTGAAATGAGGCAATCTTTTCTATTGCCTCTTCCAAGTTAACTTCTTTCATATGAATTCTTCAATCACATCTAAGAGGAGTACCTAAGGGCCAGGTACAGCCTGTTTCGATATGGGAGATTTTAGGTGTTTAGTGCAGTGAAAGTTAGCCCAATGATCTTTTAAGATAACACTGGGAAACAGAGGAGAGCAGTTGCCTTAGGGTCTCAACTACACTTATATGGATAATGAACACCTGATGTTCTGAACAATACTTCTATTATTAGTGGTCTGGAATATCTTGGGCATCTCTAGGTCTTTTAGTACTGCCTACTTGTTTGCTTGGCATGCTTTGTTATATGATGCGTAATTTATGTTGTTTCATTATTCTTGATGCACAGTGAAAAAAGATTTTGAGCTGGCTCGACGACTTGGAGGAAAAGGACAACCTTGGTGAAGCTTTACCATCTTACCCAAGTAGATTATGGTACAGCTTCAGTTCAAAGAACCAGTCTCTAATGGAGTTTATAAAGTTCGATTATCAGTACTTGTAGATTGTTCTCATCTGACCATTACCTCTTCTTGTAATTGAATAGGCTAATTATGGTACAGTATCTTTAAGTTCCCAATACTGTAGTAGGAATTCTTACAGCCATAGTTTGACTTAATTGGTCGAGGCTATTTCCATGTGATTATCGTGGACGAGCTACATATATGTCATGCAGATATAGGAGTCTGTATTTTATGATTTAGGCTGCAGATACATGTATCCTTTAGTAGGTTTCATCTGTTGAAGGAGTGACGAGAACAGTTCTGGTCTTTTCAGTAGATCTCTTTTTGTTGATGAATTTCTTATTCTTGAATTTAGGTATTGATCACGGAATTTAGAAGTGGTTGGGTGATTTAGCAAATATTTTGTACCAGCAAGTTTCCACCCCTTCATGAGTCGTTCAGGACTATCATGTAACAAATTTGACTATCTGGAGCTACGGAATTGTAGCTGGGGTTACTTTCTGGCATATGTTCTTTTTGTAACTACCTGAAATTGTATGTCAATTGGACCTACCAATCAAATTCATAAGGCAAATAATGATCAATGAAGACCCCCTTCTTTTCTTTTTTTTAAGGGCTCAGGTTAATCAGTCTACTAAGTTTTGCTTTTCTTGTAGTCGATCCTGAATGTTCTTTGCTCCTTTCAGCTTAAAATGCCTAATGTGGAGAAACAAGTAACAACAGCTTATATTATTGGGGAGAAATTAAGATTTGAACTTTAACTATCCACTGGATATAAATGAAAGAAACGTATGTAAAAATGTAAGTAGATAATGGGAAGGAATGACAACTGCAAGTCAAAGGGAAAGAAAGAGTAGTTTGTTTGGTTAGGACCAGCCGTTGTTTGATGTTTGATGATAAACAAATGCAGACAAATCTGTCGAACCATTGAGGACAAGTATAAAAAAACAGAAGCTGTCCCTCCTAATCAACAGCAACTCTCTGCTAGTCCTCTTTTCTTGATCCTCATTATTCTTATCTTTCTATTTCTCTACTCTTTTTCTTTTGTACCTAAAAATGGATCAAAATCTCCATCACCGACACAAACTCATGCACCACCGATGTTGCAGCCATGAAGAAGGTACACCTCAAATATATATATATCCCTTATGTTTCTTCATTCGTTTTTTAACTTCTTTTTTCTTGAAAAAAACAGAGGTTAATAGTATGGAGTGGGAATTCATTAGAATGAGCAAGCAAGAAGAAGATCTTATTTACAGGATGCACAAACTTGTTGGAGACAGGTAAAAAAAAAGTTGAATGATTACCCGTATCTTCATGTCTCATTATTAAGAATAGGAAAACATGCACACATGTAGTATTACCATTAACTTTAACTTGACTAAAACTAGCTCAATAACATACTTTTACATGGTGTGATATTATCCTCATTGAGTCAAGTTGACACAATTTTTCTCAAAAATATCACACGTCGTTAAGATTATTCAAACCTTATAAACAATGATGGAGTCAGAGTTTTTACTAAGGAGTGAAAAAGTAAAACGCGTTAAGAAGTCAAAGTCATACATTATAAAAATAAAATTAACTATGTATAGACAATATGAAATTTTCATCGAATGAACTTGTTGGCCCTACAAGTCACTTCTTTATTGTTTCTACATTCCATATTAAACTTTATTTACATACACCCATCTAATATGATATACTATTAGGTCATATTTATTGTTTTGGATGATGAAACTTAAGTTTATGATTTTTTGAATATAAGGTGGGGGCTTATAGCAGGTAGAATACCAGGGAGAACAGCAGAAGAAATAGAAAGGTTTTGGATAATGAGACACAGTGATGGGTTTGCACACAAGAGAAGACAAACAATTAAGAAAAGTCTACCACCTACATAATTATTATTATCCTTCTTTTTCTTTAAACCAAAAAAAAAAAAAACTTTTTGAGGAAAGCAGATTCTCTTTTTCCTCCTCATCCTTTCTTTTCCATTTTGTTTGGGGACCCAAGCTATTGATCATTTTATCATTTTCTTGTCTGTGTACTTTTATTTTTTAGATTTATATCTTATGCCTTTTTGGTTTACTTGTTATGTTTATGTGGGCAATATATATGTAATCATATTATCTTCTTAGCTTTAGGTGACAATATTATTAGTCCAATATGTAGGCAGAATATTAGTCATTGATGCAAAGATATCAATTATATCCAACTATGCATAACAATATATTGGGACGATAATTAAGTGCAAAATTAGAGGTTAGTTTTTTTCACATTCTTAAAGAAAATATAATCAAAAGAGTAATTTGATAAAATTATTCGTTTTTACTCTTTGATCTTAATTTTGTACTACTTTTTTTTTCATTATAGTAATATCTCTTCACATTATTGAGTAAAAATAAATAGATTAATGATATCTTAATTTTCTAAAATTAACAACTATAAATCACCAATTATTTATCGTAAACACAATAACAAAAATGAAGCGTGAGAGTAATAACTAGAAAGAGATCTTGATAAAAAAAAAATTGAGTGATTGTTTAGTGATAAAATCACTATCTAAGACTTTTCCTTAAATATTTTAATGATCTAAAATTGCTTTCCTCTATGGGTTATTTTTTTGGGAAAATTGTATAAAATAGCAAATTAATAACCTAAATTAAATGGAATAGCTAGGGTTTGATTTAATTGTGCTCCATAGCAAACGTTGGCAAAAATTTGTCAGGCGTCTCTCTCCCAGAAGTCTCGCTCGCCACTCTCCCATTCTTCTCGCCTCTCTCGCTTTATACACAGAAGTGTATAATTTCTGTTTCTGTTTTGTATAAAGCGAGAGAAAATTGTATATACACATGCAAAAATGTATATCTTCGTGTTATACACTTAGTTATATAATTTACAAACATTTTACTTCAAATATTGCAGAGAAAAAGGCCAAAGAATTATACAATTGTGAATGATACAATTGCAGTGAAATACAATTTTTTCTAGCTTTATACAACAGAAGTGTATATATTGTGTTTCTGTTTTTGTATAAAGCGAGAAAAAACATATATCTTCTTGCTATACACTTATAATTATGCAATATACATACATTTTAATTCGATTCAACAGTATGCAAAGCTAATTATACGATTGCAGCGAAATAGGCCAGCGAATTATACAATTTAGGCCAGCGAATTATACACTTTTATATGTATAGCGAATTATACAGTTTTTATGTTTGCTATGGAGCGCAATTATGCAAAGTTTGCTATATTATACAAATATGATTTTTTTATTTGCTATATGTGAAAGTTGCCCTTTTTTTTGGGGGGGGGGGGGGGGGGGTTAGAAAGGAAGCTATTTCCTCAATACCAAAATAAGTAGTGTTATTAATTTGAGAATTTTTGTTAGCTCATGAATCATTCTGCGAGACGTCTAATAATCACTATTTAGTCTACGAATATATAGAATAAGATTATCCATCATTCATTTTAGAGCAACATTCACATATAGCAAACAAAAAATTTATATTTGTATGCTACAACAAAGTTTGCATAATTACGCTTCATAGCAAACATAAAACTGTATAATTCGCTATACATATAAAACTGTATAATTCGCTGGCAAACTTTGGCTAACGTTTGCTATGGAACACAATTAAATCAAACCCTAACTACTCCATTTATTTTATGTTATTAGTTTGATATTATATACAATTTTCCCTTCATTTTATTAGACGGGTCGAAGGAGTGGAAACATATTTGGGCCGCGAAGAGCCCATTATATTGAGATTCTGCTAAGAACTAGGGGCCCATAATTCTTCAATTAACCCAATTACTATTATTTAGTCCATTTCATTTGTAAAATCTTAAGTCAAACAAATATCACAAAAATTACTTGTTTCATGAATTGCAAACATAACTTCTAAAACAATTTTTTTTTTTATATACCATAGGTTTGTAAAAATCCATGTTGAAATCTCACGTGGAGAAATCAAGGATTGTATTGATATATTGATTGTATTGATGAAAATAATATTGAGTTACAAGCTCTTAAGTTAACTATACTTAGAGTCCTACTACAATATCTACTACTAATATAATAATAATAATAATAATAATGTAATTATAGACGAAATATATTGTAAACCTTTTATCGTTCCTGCTCAACGTGTTCCCTTGAGGTTTTCAAACAAATAGTAGGGACCATCGTTATATAATTGATTATTATGAATTGATATTAGATACTTCCGTTCATTTTAAGCTCCTTAAGAAATAGTAATCGCAATAATTATTTTATTATCGTAGGCATATTAATCAATGTTTCATATTAAGACTTAAAAAATAAATTTTTAAATGCACCTGAGAATTAAATAATTATTTTTTATTGATATGTTAAAAATAAAAATCTATTTTTAAAATAATAAATAAATACAAATAAACGAATTGATTTTTATATTTCTTTTTCCTTACACATAATTTAACTTGTAGAATATAAAAATATTGACCATTTAAGCTAGCTAGTCTACGATAATTAATTATTACTGTGGAGTAATGATGTATTGTGGTTGACATTTAAGGACACGTTGAGAAAAAATTCAAGCTTAAATTTTATTTATGTGACAATAACGACCAATGATATCCATTTTGATGTCCGTACGGTATCCCCCTTCTTTCGTCTTTTCCTTTTCTTTTTTTTTAAATAATCGTGATGTCCAGTTAATTTTTGCGTATTCATATTTTAATTATTGCTTTTCTTTTTTCCTACCTAAATTTGTTACTTTTTCTCTCACAATGATAACGATTACTAAACTTATGGGTAGAAAAAGTATACAATGAACTTTAATGATTCCAGTACTTTTCCAATAAAATTTGACGAAGTATGATACCATTTAGCAAAATACAATGAATATAATTCAAAAGAGATAAATTACTGTAATTAATTTAATTATCTTTTGATTTTATAAATGTTCTTTTTATTGTGGCTATACTTATTTCCTTGACCTAGTAAAATAATTAAAACAAAACATTTATCCACAGTAAAGTAGTGCAAACGCGTTTATACGGGAAAATCCCAATATATATATATATGATTGGTTGATATTTTAATTATTTGAAAATTAAAGTAAAGTGTGACCCAAAACAACGTATAAAATATTGTTGGAAGGTTCCTAAAATCTTGTTTTTTGACTATTATAGCATGAAGCAAAATCCAACCACACAATTCCAATAACTTTTTTATATCATTTATAAATATAAATATCAATTTATTTATTTTTTTCTTCCTAATAAGGACTGAACATCGAAAAAGTAGTCCCACCCAATAAGTAGACAAGTCATTCGTACTTGTATGTAACTCATTTATGTAACAAAAATGGATTGTAGTACGTTAATAGATTGATAAAATTGTTCCACTCTTAATTAGAGGTTTCTGATAAATATTTTAGGCTTGTTGGTTGGTGAAAATATTTTGTTAGAAGCGTCATCATCAAATGAGTAATTTATTTTTTAATCACGCCATCATATCGGTGATTATGTTAATAAATTATGCTAATATTATTTTATAGGATTGATAATTTCAAATGGATTCCTTTTATATATACTATACTATCCTCTCGTACTAGATCTGTACTTTTTATTTTATATGGTAATTAATAAATTTTCAGCTTCATTATTTTGCCCTTTCAATTAATTAGCCTTTTTGAAAAGAAAAAAGAGAGAAACTTTGAATCTTTAAAGTTTGTTTAAATTTTCAAAGGTCATATTAATTGTAGAAATAAAATTGAAAAAATAATAATTTTACTCTAATTTAGGAAGTGATCAAATAATATCGATAAAAATTTTGTAGTAAGATACCCATTTAATATGAGATAGTAAAATTAATACTATGTGAAATCGAATATAAAAATCACTTCCAACTAGTTGTCCCTTGGAAAAGATAATTTCTAAATAATAAGGGGTCAAAATGAGTATAGTCAATTTCTTTATTGATAGATTATTAGTTGATTTATGGGATATCATATTGCAATATAAAATCATGAACTAGATCGTAAATTTGAATAACAGTAAATGTAAATTGAAAAACTATTAGGTGGTGAGGTGTTTTAGAAAAAAACAAAAGATTGTAAAAATATAATAATAAAATCTTCTTTTTAATCTTATTTTTAAACTACAATAGTGAGCTATAACGTAAACTTACAAGTGATTCAGTATCTTTTAAATTTTTTTGTTATATGGATCATATTTTCAAGTCCAAGTAGGATGCGGTTACAAGTGTGGACGGTGAGTCCTTTGAAAATACTTGGACGGATTCGTACGTATATATAATTAAATAAATTATTAGTACTAATATTAATGTTAAAAGGATATTTTGAATGTACATTTCATTATTGTTAGCTGAGTATTATGTCAAGAGGACAAATATTTACGGTACATTTTGCAGGTTTAAATCAACTAACAAGGAGGATTTCTACCGAAATTTTAGTTATCTCTCCAGAGTTTATCTAAAATAAAGTTGAATGACTTTATAGCTAAAAAAAAAGTATTTTTTCGATCAATTTTTATTTGTGATATTAATTTTTTTTAATTTATTGACTAATTTTTAAAGTTAAATATATTATATTAAATCGATATTTTAAATTAAAAAATTAGATATTCAAAAACTATACGAAAAATATTATAAATTGCAAATTTTTTGCATATCAATATGATGAAAAAATAAATCGTAAAACGTTAGTCAAAATTTTATAGTTTGACTCTAAAAAAAAACTATGACAACAAAGTGCACGGAGGTAGTAACGTGTATTGATGAGAAGACGAGAGGAAGTTGCTCGGATGAAAGTTGCTCGGAAGGTAAGCACCTTTCACTTTCAATTAAAGATTGCGAATTCGAATGAATAACTAATGGAGCAAAAGGAGGGAGCTCCTAGATGAGGGTTAAAAAAAAAAACCTTCCCAAAAGAAAAAGAGTATTGATAGGAAAAAATATTATGAGTTCAACGATCTATTTCAGAAATTAGTCTCTATTTGTCGCTTATAATTAATTGATCAAATAATGTTCTGTTGTAATGTGTGTGTGTGAGAGACTAGTCCCTGAAATTTGAGTACAAATAGGGAAAAATTACAGAACCTCAATAATTAATTAATTTCATAA